GGTGGCGGCGGCGGCGGTGGTGATGTTCGTGGTGGTGGTGGTCGTGGTGTGGCATCGCGGTTGTTGTGGTAGTTGTGGTGCGGTGTCGAAGTTGTTGTAATGGTTGTGGTGCGGTGTCGCGATTTGGGTTTTTTTAGTGGGGTTTGGCAATCTATGGTGTATGTGTGATAATCTGTGTGAGTTCTGTGTGTGGAAGCTGATTATGTGTGGTGGTGGTGGTGGTTCGTTGAAGTAGTGGTGCTGGCTGAGATGGTAAAGTGGGGATGCGGTGGTGCAGGTGGGGGTGTTTGTGACCAAGATTGATCGTGACAGTGTTGATTTTTGTTTGTTGAGTTTCTTGTTGGTGGTGATGTCGATGTCAGTGGTGGTTGCTGATTGTTGGGTGATCATTGCAGTGTCAGTGGTGGTGTGGTTGTTGTTGTGGATTTGATTTGTTGATTTTTTTTGGGCGACGGTGGCAACGATTTTGTTGGATAATGGTGGTTTTGGTGGTGGTGCCTGGTGGATTGTGACCAATTATTCAAGATTGTGACCATTAATTTGGGTATTCTGCGACTAAAAAATAACGCGTGATCTATAAATTTTGACTAATAAATAATATGTGACCTAAAAATTTGAATTGTGATTTATGAAATTTGTGATTTGTGACTGATAAATGAATTGTGATTTATAAAATTTTTGATTTGTGATCGATAAATGAATTTGTAACCAAATTGTATACAATTGCGACCAAGTTGTGATGTTTAATTTTTTTTATTTGTGATCGATGAACAAATTGTGACTTATAGAGTTTCTGAATTATGGTCGTAAAATAATTTATGACCTATAAAATTTCTGATTTGTGACGGTAAAATAATTTGTGAATTATAAAATTTCTGATTTGTGACCGATGAACAAATTGTGACACGTAAATTTTTTGAATTGTGATTATTAAATAATTTGTGACGTTTCAATTTTTGATTTGTGACCAATTAACAAATTGTGACCTACAATTTTTTTTAATTGTGATCGTAAAATAATTTGTGACAAAATTTGTGATTTGTGATCAAATTATATGGAATTGTGACATTAATGTATTTAATTAATAAAAAATATATTTAATTTATTAATAAAATTAAAAAACTTTGAAATTTGAAATTTTAAACTTAATGTTTTGAATTTGAAATGTGTAAAACTAAACTTTTTAATTATGAAATTTTTTCAAATAATTTTTCTAAAAAAATGTGGAAATATGTGTCATTCCTTAAACTAGGGTAACTTTGAGGTGGGTATTCCGCCAAACGGGCCAACTTTTAGCTAGGCTTAATGTCTTTGAGCCCATGTTAATTAAAAGGTACATAAAATGGTCATTCTTCCAATTTGAATCATTTTATCAAGAGAGAAGCCCAAGAAACTGAAATTGTCGGCAGGTATACTATTGACAATCAAAATTAGAGTACAAGGAATGTCTATAAAATAAAAATGTCTGCAGCATTCTGTTCAGATATGCTTTTAATGTGGACGTTGATGTCAAAATCATAATAATTGCGTGTCTACAATTTCACCCACCACCAAATACTTGCAAGAGGCGTACGGCACTACGGTGGGTTTGGGTTGTAGGGTCGAATTTGAGTGAAATTTTTGTATTAAGTTTTATCCAATTCAATTTTCAGATCATAAGTTTTAAAATACAAAAATCAGGTATTTATTAATTAATTAAAAATATTTTATTAATTAAATGTAATAAGGTCACAATTATACAATTAATGGTCAGGAATACATAATTATAGGCACAGTTCATTTCATTGGTCACAAATAAAAATTTTTATAGATCACATTTTATTTCATTGTTTACAGATAAATTTTTTTATAGGTCACAGTTCTTACGTTGGTCACAGATCAAAGTCACAAATTATTTTTTTAATCACAAATAATCGGATATTAAGGTCACATGTTAGTCTGGTTGGTCACATACACCAAACATCCAACCGCCGATCTCGATCCACCAACAATACTTGGTCACGAATCGATTAAATAGTTAGTCACAACATCTCAGCTCGTAATCCCCGTTGCCTCCGTCACTGTCATATCTACATCCACAGCCATTATAACAACACAACACCACGAATACATCACCACTGTCACCACCACCAACCAGATCTGAACCTACCAAATATTGACGTACACTAAACACCCAACCTCGACCTCGATCCACCAACAACACCATCACAATACCACAACTGTGCACAAAAACATTGTCAAACCCACCCATCGCCAGAGCCACTGCACACTGGCAGAGCCGCCACCACCACCACCACCACACACACCCACCACCACCACCACATCCAGCCACCCCACCCTCTCATAGCATCGATCCTAGTCCCAGCACCACCAACTCGTTGCACAATCATCGATCGCAAAAGCAACTCCAGTCATCGTGCATCTTATTGACGATGTCGTCTTCTTGCAGCGACGACGATATCGCATCGAAACCGGCTCCAGATTTCAAAGCGTCGCCACCACAGTGGCGATGTCGTGAATACTGCGGCGAGGTTGCACTGCATCCAACGTCGTGCAAGACTTTCTTCATGTGGGCAGTGCCGACGACAGCATTCTTCCTGTGGGCAACGTCGATTTTGGACAGAGAGAGGAGGGAGAGAGAGGGTAATGAGAGAAAACGAATACCGAAAATGAATTAGGGTTGGTGTGAATTATTGGTATTATAATATTATTTAAATATTCAATTGATACCCGATTTTTGAATATACAAACTTTAGACCTGATTTTTAAAAGGCTATTTTTAAACACCTGATTTTTTGTAATTTCCCAACTTTAAAAATTGAACGTATGAAACATTATTATGCATTCAATTTTTTTTTGTACAATTTAAAAGGGGAAAATAACCCTGAAATATCTAAGAACTCGTGAATATAGGGAAATAGATATGGTTTCAAATTTAACTGAAATATGCCTTCTAGTCGACGAAAGAAGAAAGAAAATCGAACCAGGAAATTTTCAAAGATAAATTATTGACAACGATTCATAGATGAAATTTTCAAAATCTTACTGTCTTGGCACGATCTTTATTCGCGAAGAAATTACTAATGCAGTGCTAACCCATATATGATATATGAGCCAACTTCTCTCTCTCTCTCTCTCTCTCTCTCTTCTCTATCTTTTCGTATGAACTTCTTTAGAATCTTGATTTCTTTTCACTTCAAGATGCTTTGCAACCCTTCACAATTTCTTCTGGTGTGCCATTCTTGTTACAATAATAACACTCCGTGTCTTTCCTAATAAAAGATTGAGAACGACCATCCCTCTTATTATAATTCTTTACTGATTCACTTGTACCTTACTACTCACTAAAGTTGCCAAGAGAACTCAATCACCATCCACAATGATAACACTCCATGTCTCTCCTAATAAAAGATTGAGAACGACCATCCCTCTGACCATAATTCTTTCCTCGTGATTCACTTCTACGTTTCTAATATCTAAAGTTGTCAAAAGAATTCATCATCATTCACAATATCACTTGACTTTTTAATGTAAGAAGTGTCTAATTACGTAGTCATGTGTTATATAACTTTGGCAAGAAAGACGGCAAATTAATTGTTTTATCTTCATCTTCAATTCTAACATTAATACTAAGCAAATCAGTCACACACTTATTAAATTTATGTAGATGATCCATAATATAAGAATTCTCATTCATCTTCAACTCGTACAATTGATTCTTCAAAAATAGCCTATTTATTAGAGACTTGGACATGTACAATTCTTCTAACATTTCTATAACTTAGAATGGGATTTCTCTTTCAAAATACTGCGTTTCATCTCGAGTGCAAGAGCCAATATGATGGTGTTGACTGTCTTCCCTTCCAATTCTTCCCTCCTTGAGTTTTCATCCCTTCTGACATCTTACCATGTAAAATCCTTGTTGCACGAGAACATCTTGAACATTTCCAATACTAAAATTATTCTTCACGTCTAACGATTTCACCTCAAACTTGAAACTCATCATCATCTTTACAGTAATACTAGAGTTTGAACCACGAGCTCTGGTAAAATTGTTGAGAAAAAATTCAACTAGACGTAAAGGAACCACCTACTCCAATTTTTTTGGAATAAATCTGCAAGTACATGAAATTTCAATAGATTGTCTTCCTGTGCAAAATCTGTGGAAATTTTCATGTACTTATAGCATTTCTCTTTTTTCTGGGTAATGTGGTAACCGACTCCTGGACATGTCCTTAGGTATAGGTCTGGCGGGTTGGGAGGCCCATGCCCTCCACCTCTTGACAACTCAATTTAGTCCAAGTGAAAAAATAATACCTAAAAAGCTATCATATCTATCCCCATAATAAACTCTCTCTCCAGTTCCAAGCGTGGAAAATCATAATGTAGGCCGCATGTTGTATATATGCTAAACAAGTTCAAAACCTTTAATCAACAAAATATAAAAATGATTAGAGTACAAAAAATGGTAACTTTATTATGCATTAAATTTTGAATTAAATCATCTGTCACATTAACAGATACATCAACAAGATTAGATAAAAAAAAGGGGGCAAAGACTTAATTACCTTATATACTCTAAATTAGGACCCTTTCTTTAGAAAATAATCTTCCAAAAGTTTTTTTCTCCCCTTTTTTTTGCCTTAAGAAAAAAAAGAAGAAGTAGAAATTCATAACAATATATCCCCATTACCCAAAAAATAAATGTACAAACAAACTAACGTAATAAAATTGAAATGTGCATCAATGTAGAACTGGTGTGGATAACTTGCCAACTTGATCTACGAGTTCATGAAACTCTGCCCTACTCCTCACACCTCTTTAACCTGTTGTTGCAGCGGCACAAGCCCTTCTTCCATCTTGCCACAGATTTCGGCTAGCTCCTCAACTTGCATTGCTATATCGCCCGCCTTCTCCTCCTCGAACAGAAATTGGAACGAGTGGCAAAATTGACTAGGGATTGAGCCACCTTTTCCATTTTTTGCAACTCCTCTAACAATTCAGCAGTCCCTTTCTTCTCCTTCTCCTTCTTCTACTCCTCTCCAATTTTCTCTTGGAGCCCAATTGCCTTGGGACAACAAAAATGGGTCCCCAGCCCAGTTCTCTCTTGGCATGGAATTGCTGCCACTAAAGTCCACATCACAAATACTAAAACTGTGCTCATAATGTAAACCGGCATGGCCAGACCGGTTGACACTACGCCACGTGGTGCGGCGAGATTGGACGACATGGCCTGAATCTGTTGGCGGCGGACCATTGTTTCGCAGAGCGATCAAGGAGGTCAGGGATGAGTTTATCGAGCGGAGTCTTCGTGAAATGGGACGGGTCACGACCATTACCAAAACAGCCTTGAACTCAGCCTCGCAGCAAAGAAAAGTGTCGAGAAGGTTGCCGAACCAGGAGATGGAAAGGAGCGGAGGGTTGCAACTCTCCAGTACTGCACTAGGGGAGTCGGTGGCGGCGGAGGAAGATTCAATGGTGGATGCGGCAGCGGAGGGGGTGGAAAGAATGTGGGGGCAGTCTGTCAGCGACATGCTTTTGGAAGAGTTCGAGGTCTTCGAGTTCTTGATCGTGGTTTTCCATAGCTGCCACCTGGTTCCAGCGGATGCTCATGCGATTGAGGAATGAACCTTGACTATCGTTCGTCGCTGGTATGGTCATTCGCCGCAAATTTTGCATTTGGTTTTAGAGAGAGAAATTTGGGAAATGGATGTTTGTGTAGAAAAGAACTGGAAGAAGATGAAATGGACGGTTTGGCAGTTAAAATATTGACCAAAATCGGTTGTTATGCTTTATCGGGGAACAGTACCTTTTCCTTCTCCTTGTTCGTTTGTTCTTTTTAGGGAACATAGCATTTTGGCCCCCGAACTTTGATATCTCTTGCATTTTGGTCACCTATCTTCAAAAAGTAAACATTAATAATTTTACGTGCTTTTATTTTTGTATCACTTAGGTCACATTAAACAATTTTATCCTTGTCTAGGTTAGTTTCATTGAACCGAATGTACTATTGTTTAATTATTTTACGATTTTGCAATGTGATTTTAGGAATTATATTAGTTTGATTATTATTTTTATCCAAGTAATGAAATATAATGGCAAGGGAGAAAAAGTATGACAAAACTGTCTGCACCCATTATTCCTCTAATTATTCCAAATTATAATGAGAGGAATAATAATTTTTTGGAGAATATGCGGTTAGAAAAGAAGAAATCTTTTTTGAATTTATGTGTAATATTATATTAAAAAATGTGTGATTGATAAGAAAAGAGAAAAAAAATGAATTATATTTTAATGAGAAATAATATGGGCCAAACAGAAACTGGGGCGACAAATATCGTTGAAAAGTTACGTTAATTTTTCATGTAATATGCTTAAATAAGTAAGGGTAATGTAGTATTTGTACGCTATAACTCTTATTTATGGATATGAAGTGGTCGTGATAACTTGATAGAAATTTAAAAGCATTTAATTAATTAGGATTACAATCATAAAATATTTAGCGATTTCGCAATATGATTTTTGTCCTTCACTAGTCGTGGTTATTAACGCTAGTCGTGTGTACTAGATTGAATGTCAAGTTCCCACGTCTCACTGCCGCATAAGTCCGGACAAATATGATTTATTTAATTTGGATTGACGTGAAAAATATCTCTTAGGAATGAAAATGTTTTTCTTATTTTGACGAAAAAACCTACTCCCCCCCCTAACCCAAAGTAAATATCTTCCTTAAAAATAAGAAAAATTAGGCATATTTTCAAAAGTTGAAAAAATAGCATTCAAACACTTCAAAGTAGGAATTTGAGTGAAAAATTGACATTTTCATGAACAATAAATGCAATCAAACACACCATGAATGTTACGTTAAAATGACAAAAACCTCAAGCGAATGTAATATGAGTTGAGATATGCTCTCCAATTTACTGTTCGCCTATTGATACGTCATTTTCAATTAACACGTCATCAATTTATTAGATTGGTAGTGAAATTAATTAGAGTAAATTTGAGATGGCATGTTAATTTAAAAATGACGTGCATATAATTCATTAGGTGAACAACGAGTTGGACAACAAAAGATGAACAGTAGATCTCAACTCATGTAATACATGTCATATAAGGTCACACGAAAGAGCTCAAATAACAAAACTATTATGGAAAAGAAAGTTTATAGCAATTATTGAATCTCATTTAAAAAGTCGAAGTTATGAAATAGGTTAAGAGTCATTGGATTTCAACATCAATTTGATTATAATGTCGAATTTGGCATTAATTAGTCCAAGTTCGAATTTTTACTAATATTTTTGCTGGCTATTTGATGTTTTACCCTCAGTCATTTATTCAATTAACTTTAGGATAACCTCACACATATCCCACTTTAGTTCAAAAAGTTTAAAAATATCTTCTTTTATAATTTTTATTTCATTTTTTCATTTTTCATTTAACATATTTTGTTTTTGTTTTTTTTTTCCAACAAAAAACAACATTTTAGGATAATATATATGTTACTCTGGGTTACTTCATCACTCCTTTTATCCATCATTTTCATTTAAAATAAATACTTTAATTTTTCATTAGATAATAATATTTTTATGAATTACATATTTGAATAACATATGTATTATTATTAGAGTAATACACGTTACTTTTTATAATTTGTATGGTAACACTTGTGTTTCTTTGTTACTTTACTATGTTAATCCATCTCAAACCCTAAAATATCCTGCTGCACATTGGTTTCCCACAATTGTTGCCACTTTACCCCCACAAATCATGTCGAATTTCTTCAATCTCAAGCATACCACGCTTCTTTTGTCCTATCAATATGATTCCCTCATCCAATGACATGCTATCTCAATTCACAATCAAGTAACATGTTACATTAATGGAGAACAACGTATCGTGTTCTTTAACACAAATTTCTTTCCCACAAGATCAAAAACAAATCTTGTTTAAACATTATAAATCTTGCAATTTATGTAATCTCCGATTGATAAGTGCTACTGACAAAGTGTTTTATCCTGCAAAATAAAACACCCAAAATTATTCGACTACATATAATGAATAACAAGAAATGGAAGATAACAAATAATATTTTAAAAGAAGTACGTACAATACGTGCGTCTAAAAGATTGAAACTTATTCATTGTTGGGTTTTGATTAAAAATCGGGTTAAATTCACCAATAGCCATCCAATTTTATACTTAGTGTCATCATGACAACCTAATTTGATTTTGTTTCATTACGGTCACCCGACTTTATATTTAGTGTCACTATAGTCACCTAATTTGATTTTATTTCATCATAACCACCCATTTTTATATAACGTTTTATCATGACCATCTAATTTCATATAACATATCATTATGACCAGACAATTTCTTTTCATTATTTTCAATAATTTTAAAAGGAGTAAAACGATAACTTTATATTATATATATATATATATATATAGGATAATTAAAAAAAACAAAAATAAAAGTTTTTGTTTAAAATTAAAAAAACGTTTATCTTAAAATAAGTTTTTACTATATATTTTTTTTTAAGGAATGTCTTTTTTAAAGTAACTTTTTTTTTCGAATTAACTCTTTTCTAATAAGTTTTTATTTTATTTTTTTAAGTAACGTTTTTTTCTAAGTTTTTATTTTAATTTTTTAACATTTATTTTATATATATAATGCAAAATTATCATTTTACCCATTTATATGAAATTGGATGCTTATATAAAATAAAATCAAATTGAGCGGTCATGGTGATACTAAGTATAACGTTGAGTGATTATTGATGGATTTAACCTTTAAAAATAAAAAATTTAAAGTTAGTTTGGTATGACTTTTACTTTTACTTGTGTTTTTGCTTTTACTTCCTATAGAATAGCTTTTCGAGGGAGTTAACTTAATTTTTATACGAAAACTAATTTTTAAAATAGCTTCCTATTTCGAAAGTGATTTAAAAGAAAGCCAAATTGGATTACGTCCTCTAAAAGTTCTTCTAATTAGAAGAAATACTTTCATAACATTAGTCAAACGTGTTCAAAAGCTGCTTTTGATTTTTCAAAAATCATGCCAAATGGACTTTTAGTAAATTTAGATAAAAGTAGATGAAATGTGTGATTAAAATGTCGATAAAAATTATAAATAATATGAAATGTGTGGTTGAAATTAAAATTATCTCAAAACTAACAAAAAGAGAGAAATTGCGAAGTTAAAAATTTAAAAATAAATGCTCTAGTTCTAAATTTGTGATTTTATTTATTTTGATAAAAATGGGATTCACCTACCGCTCCAACGGTAAAAAAATTGAATTAAAATTGGGAAAAATCGCTCCTATATAGGCTATTAGAATGGTAAATGAATATTTATTTATAAAAGTTTATATAAAGGAGGTAATTTTTTAAAAGAGTTATTTACATGTAGGGTGAAAATTGAAAAATAAAAAAATTATAAAGGAGGGCATGTTTGAACTTTTGAGAAAAAGGAGGTAAATAGTGTAAATTTACACTTAGCCATATTTGACGATTTTAATTTAAGTCAAAAGTTAATAATTTCCATCAAATAAGAACTTAACATTAAGAAAGTTGGACCATGGGCTTATAACGTTGTCAAGTCCAAATAAATAGGCTAATGGATTTTTCGTATAAATGCTATTTTGAGCTGTACTCTACGTCGATGTAATAAATCGATTTCTCAAATAGACACAGAATTTACACGTTTTGCCTACAATTTAATCTAAAATGACTAAAAACTTTATTATGAATGTTCACATTCGTGAAATTATGTTAGATTCGTCCTTCTTACTTGTGGCCCTCTCTGGATCCTTTGTATGTTTTTCAAGGATTTTTCACTTTTCAATGATAATTGCCAACTTGCATTATACGTTAAAGACGAACAGTTAAATATATATAGACAAAAATTGATTTTGTTTGCATTTTAAATATAATTTAACTCCTTTTACTAGCAGACCCCAGAAGTCTACAAAAAGGTCATGAGCCTACAAAAAGTAACATATAAATAATTTGAGATCCACTTTAGGGTGGTCGCTCTCATTTTTCTACAATTTAACGTTTGAATCGAGCTCAAATGTGGTCGAGTATGAACATCTTTTTTCTATTGAAATATATTTCTTATGTTGCTCCGTACGAAAAAGATTTGATATTGCATGTCTGCTTCACCTAAATTTCGATTGTCTTATCTCCATTCTGACCTAAATCCATACGATATATATATGCCTTGTAGCCTTTTACTTGAGATGCACGTTGTATCCTTCATTGCCTTTCGAGAAAATTAAAAAGACAAGATAAAAAGTATTCCAAATTAAGCCAAATACTTTTGATTCTTGATCAAACTTATGAAGATCGATCCACTAATTCTGCACGAAGTATCTTATTTAATCTATTAATTCGTGAGAAAGCAATGTATTTCTTTCTCTTTTGCGAAACATTTAGATGAATGCATGATTACAAAACATTTAGTGAGACAATAGATGTGACTAACCATGTCTTGTTGTACAGTTTTTATTTTTTAAGAATGATTAGGGAATCAATTTATTAATAAGCAAGCTTCTAATGAAGTAAGTAGGGTCCACATGAGAATTATAAAGCAACAAATAAGCAATTAATGATGGAAAATGGGGTCCATTAGTAGACAAACATCTCTAATCAAATTACTGATGAAAGCAAACTCCAAAATAATTAGAATCACAATTAAAATAAAAAAAGACATTTTATCTCTGAGTTAATTAGCTTAACCAACCATGCTTAAAGGGGAATAGTCCCAACTTAATTTGTTGCTAATTAATTATTTCTTTAATTGGTAGGGCCAAATGCCACTCCATTGCTCCCCCTTAAAGCTAAGAATAATCATTTCTCCTTTTCATTTCCCCCCCTAAAGTGTCTTTATTAAAATGATTTGCATTTTACTTCCAAATTCAGTTTCCAAGCAAAAGTCACAGATTTTCAAATCAAATATGGTGGATGATTTGCCTCACTGAAGATTCTTCCATTGTCATTCTCATTTGTGTATTGTATATTGTATACGTATTAGCACGTGTAAAATATGATTTTGAGATATGCATTCACTTAACTTGTACATTAAGTTGCAATCAATTAACTTAGAAATTTCAAGCACCTTCCAATGGAGATCTAAGTAGTATGGACACGACATAAATTTCAATATTTGTAATGGTTGACGTCAAATGATCGTCTAGCTATAACTTGGTTAAATCTTCGGGAGCTAATAGAAATGGACGAGTCGACAAGTGTTAGAGAAGTTCAATTTTCTACGTACATACAGAATGTCTGTTTTTATTTTGAGGGATAACGCATTATGATTTTATATAACAACACTTTTGCTGAATAAATAAAGAATTTAACCAAACCGATTAAAAATTATAATAACAAAAATAATAAAGGAAGAAAAAAATGATTCAACGAATATTTGGATGAAAATGTCAAAGCTCGTACATAAAGAATCTATAAAGCTATATATTCTTCCATAAAGCTCTCTCCATTTATAAAGTATAAATTGTGGGATCTCAACTTGTTAGGTTACTTTAGGAATTAAAATCACATAATTGTCAATCAAAATCTGTGTCCTTTCAAGCACAGTAATTCCATTATTATTAGAGCTTTTTACTCGTGGGATCATTGTTCAATTTCCTAATTCTTTGAAGTAACGTTGCTTGTCTTGTTCTGTGCAAAGTGCATTTTTTTATCTATATACACACACACACTATGATGCAAAAGTGATGCAGCAAATTAGCCTAAGATGATTAATGTTTCAACTTTCCAGCAGTGGAACTACACAAAATACTAAGAATTTAGGCAAAGTATCGAGACAAATTTCGATTTTTTTTTTAATTTCATGTACAAAAAAACTAAGCCAATGAACGGCTGCCAGCTTTTAACAAAACCTAATTGCTAAGCTTAGTAAAAAATTAGCAGTTAATAATAAAACAAAATCTACAAAAACCGAAAATAAAAGGAAAAGAAGCAGGCCCTTCACCATGTTTGAACCGTACACCTCAAAAAGTTACTTCTGTAATTAACATCAACCAAAGATTATTATATCCTGGAAGGTTGGGCTGCTCTTTTAAAAAAAAAACTCAACTTTTTAAAAGAACCCAAATGTTGATATTAGAGTTTATTAATCTCGAACGAGCAACTTACTTAGTTTAAAGCTCGAACGAGCACTTGGATTTCAAGATAAATGTATTTAAACGAATTATCATCTTATGAAAGGATAAAATCGGACTCCAAGCAAAGATGAAATAAATAAATAACTTGTAACATTTCAAACTTATTCCAACTACCACTCCTTTTTACGTGGCCTCACAAATCATATGAAAACCAAGGGAAAAAATCACAATATTTATTACTATTTCTTGATTGTTTGACAAGAGTAGGTAGCATAATTATTGAATCAATTTCTTCACAGAATTCCTAGTCTAGATGGTATTATTAGCCCGTGTTTTACGACTATTATTTCAAAACTCTTTAATTCTAATACTCATTTTCAATTACACATTCACACAATAAAATATTATGCACGTAAACCCAAATTTTTTTTTTTACCTTTTAACCATACATTCTCCAACATATCACTATTCAAAACTCAATTTTCTCAAAATAATGATCATCAACATTGGCTTAATAAACTCAGAATGAACAAGCAAATATATCTAAACAAAATATTATGACTATTAATTAACTTTTAAACTTGTATTTTATTTCATTTCACAATACTTAGGGTGTGTTTGAGCCACATTACTTTGGAAAAATGTATTTTCGAATAGAAGATTGATGGAGAATGTGTTATTGAAAAAGAAGAAAAAGTTATTGCTGTGATAAAAAATATTATTTTATTGAAGAATGTGTAATTGAAAATGAGTAGAAGAATGTGAATTAAAATTTTAATGTGGCTCCGACAGAAGCGTAATATGCAAATATGACATGAATGCATGTCCTCATCATCAGGAATAAAGGGTTTGTGATAGTCTTTAAAGCAACAGGCAGTGCTGACGTAGGTGAAATTGGTTATATAGTACGTCTACGTAGAAACTCAAAAGAGTTGTAGTATTACAGAAAGAGTTGATGGAATGTCACTTTAGGGTTAGATGGGAACATGGGGCCTATCCAGGGTCCATTTTGAGGGCTTATGCCGGATACCCATATATAATTCCAAAATATATTTAAATGGAAATAGAAAGCTAAAGAATAATACACTCTTAAGGCCAAAAAAAAATATGGGGCATCACTCTTGCTGCAACCAGCAGAAGGTTAAGAGGGGTCTTTGGTCACCTGAGGAAGATGAAAAGCTCATTCGATACATCACAACTCATGGTTATGGCTGCTGGAGTGAAGTCCCTGAGAAAGCAGGTTTGTTAGAGCTCATGTTTTGTTTTACAGAATAGGCCAATTTTTTGGATTTTGTATATACATACATGATACATGTAAATGCTCCTCATGAACATTTAATTAATTTTGTGTTGTAGGGCTGCAAAGATGTGGCAAGAGTTGTCGTTTGAGATGGATAAACTACTTGAGACCTGATATCAGAAGGGGAAGATTTACACCAGAAGAGGAGAAGTTAATTATCAGCCTTCATGGGGCTGTAGGGAACAGGTTTTAGTGACTATACTTGTTCAACTTCTACATTCTAAACCCCCACCCCCCATTCCAAACACACGCACCAGATTTTGCTGCATTATGCATTATTCATTGCACCTAAAATAGTTTGAAGAAACTGAATTATGCATCTCAAAATTAAGCTGCAACTCTCTTTTATGCCATAGAACTTAACAAGATATATAAAGTTTTTTGGCTGCATTATGATGCATTAGTCATTGCACCTAAAATAGTTTGAAGAAACTGAATTATGCATCTCAAAATTAAGCTGCAACTCTCTTTTATGCCATAAAACTTAACAAGATATATAAAGTTTGGGTCAAGGTCTTGATTATTTGGAAGAATCTTAAAGCAATGGATAAATTAATTCTGATTAAGACAAACACACTGTTCTATACAAATTATATAAGCAAGTATAAATTTATCTTGACAAAAATATGATCACGTACGTATTTGTGCACGTGTACATATTTTTCTTTAAAATATTATATAAAGGAAATTTTTCTTGCATTTTCAAAGACGTTAAGAAGGTAATGTCAGCAGTTTCTTTCAGATTAATTTTCAAATGAAAAGTAATACCATTTTCTGTCAAGCATAAATTATTCTTGTGTCTACTGTAAGTTTTGCCTCCTTTTCCACATTCTTTGTTTGCTTAGTATTTGTAGATTTGAACTTCAAGTTCACTCTTGTGGAATTAATAAAATCTTCTAGTGCAATCTAATAATGCTATTATTAATCATTACAAAATTTAATTGATTTTTACTAATGAAATACTCACTTCTCTGAGGGATTTTTTAGATGGGCTCATATAGCAAGCCATTTGCCTGGAAGAACTGACAATGAGATAAAAAATTATTGGAATTCATGGATCAAAAAGAAGATAAGAAAGCCTTCTTCGACATCTTCAACAAACATTGCACCAAGCATTATTGAGCAAAATTCCCAATTCACATACACGCAAAACCAGCAGATGGACTTCTTAAATCAAGATTTGGCTACAAAGAGACAGATTCAAGATACACTATATCCTTTACCTTGTCCTCAATTCATGTTTGATATTGGTTTAGCAATGGATGGTGCAAATGGAAATGTTGATGGAAAAATTGATCAGTTTCTACAAGAAAATGCAGGATTAATTAACTCTGAGACATGGCAAGTAAACCAAAATCAAGAAATGATCCAACCAGTTTCCTATACGAGTGCACTGGACCCGAATTGTTTGCCTCCATTGATGGAGAACCTAGAGAGTATGGTGCCTATGGAAGTGCAATCTTGTAGCATAAATTTGGAAGGACAAATGACCCTTGATTGCCTGCAGAGAAATGAGCTTAATGAATGGGATGATACACAACAATGTCCCAATTTTTTCTTTTGGGACCAAGCAGAAGGACAACTTGGTGGGCAGGAAATTTACCCTACTTCATCAAGCACGGGAAATATTCTATCTTCTTATCCTTCATCTCTCTAAGAAGGATCCCATAATTCGTGTTTGAGTCTTTTTATTCTATTTATATCTGTTTTTTTGTTTGAGAGGATTTAACTTTTATAATTTGACATAGAAAGATGAGAGATTGAATGTTTCTTGGACCATATAAGGAAACTCAAGAGACAAACAAATGCTATAGGTGTTTGATCTTGAGACTTTTATCTCCTTTTCTCCGTCGTTATGCCTATAATGGTGTTAAATAATGACATTCTTTTGATTTTTATCACTTATCAAATGATTATATCCTTTTCTTAAGAATCAATTTGGTGTATTCTTACATGCATAAACTTGAATGTCTAAGAAGTAAGTAAAAATCCCTTCAAAGAGTTCCAACAATACTTTTGTCGTGGAAATATTTTCAAGAAAATAAATACAAAATGAGAACATATAAGGTGTGAACAGGTGGCCAAATGGATGAGTAAGGAAGTCAATTTTACATTGCACCAGCAGGGTCAGGCCTAAGGCAAGGCCGGTGAAACCTCGCGTCAGCCCAACGTCAAAGGGATTCCATAAATTCTAGAGATTTTTTAATGGGGAAATTAAGTTCGCTACAAAAAAAATAAAAATAAATAAATATTAGATTAATATTCTTGAATTTAATTAGAATTATAATTCACGAATTAATTACACCCAAAATCCCTCAAACCCCCAAAAGCTCACAAATTGATTTTTCACCTTTTTAAATTTATGTCAATTTTTCTTTAATAGTCTTTCTATTATCTTTTTACAGGATTGAGAAATAATCACACCACAAGAATATTATTCAAAAGGGCATTAAGTGTCCATGATCCTTTTGATAAAAAAAGTGACACAATCCTTTTTAGCAGTGATATAGCTTAGGGGTCTTTTAAAATTGACTCGATCAAATATGTATATTTTCATTTTGACTTTTCAACTTATCCATATTTCAACAATGGCTTATTTAATGACAAACGACAAAAAAAATCCTTAAATATATATAAAACAATTACAAAATATTGTTTTGTTTAAAAGACAATACTACCCTTTAGTTAACAAATAAAAATCAAACACTCCCACGTAAAATTTCAAAATCAACTTACTTTTGTTATCTGTTTATTTTAATACAGATAAAAACTCTCTCAGTTTTCATCTGCTTCAACCTTGAAATTTGAAAAATTTATCAAACGTTGAAGCCTAAATTTCTTTTATATCAATCATTTCAAATCGGTAAGTATATTTACGAATGTTTAATTTTGTTTTCGATAAATCAGTATACACTTTAATCGCTAAATTTATTTCGACATAGATAGTTAATGTAGATAATTTTTTTTAACAGATAATAATTATTTTAAACGTGAACGAGAAAAAAAATTATCTGCATTTTAGGACGAAATAGATCTGGCGAGAAACAACCGGCCAACCGGCTGTTAACGGCCGATTATTATGGCTGTTTCGCCTTTACAAAAACTATTGTTAAAAGTCAAATTTTCGACTATGCATTTTCTTAAAAAAATTATGTCCAACTGTTTCGCATTTTTTTTAAATTCAAGCCAAATCTTTGACTATGTATTTTCTTTAAAAAAAATCTATTTCTTCTTGCAGATATAGTTGTAATGCCAGTATGTTACTTTGGTGACTTCGAATTGTATGAGAAAGATCAATGAGTATGGAGATGAACAAACGATATACGTGGTAGTACTCCAATTTTCATAACGGAGAGTACAACATATGTGGGAATGTACCTTGATTTACAAAATAAGTTGAATGTCGACTCCTCTCAATACGATATGGAACTGAGATTTTGATTCAAGAATGATTCTTCTATTCCGATTCCATATATGAAGGTTATTTGTGATGAAGAATTGAATTATCTATTTGAATTGAACAAAATGTACAAGACTCGTTTTTGAGTGAATTTAGTGAGGAAGGATGTCGCCGAAATTAAATACTAAAATTCGGATGGAGGGGACACAATGCTAGTGATTTTTGGGACACCGTGAAAATAGCTCATGAGGATGATGTAGTTATTCCCGTGCCAATTATTCCTCATCGTGATCACATTTAAAAATAAATATTGCTCAACTAAAGTAAACGAAAAAAAAGAAAAATAAAAAAGAAAATTTCATTTTAGTGATTATCAATTTCAAATTCTTTATTTAATTATATATATAAAAAATTCAAACAAAAGTAAATTATTAAAATTAAATAAAGAATATAAATATTATTTAATGAAATTTGAAGAAATAGCGATTTGTTTACCATGAATATTTAATTAAAGAATTTTAAATTAAAAAATTAAAAGGAAAAAAAGAATTTGCTAATTCGTTAAAAAATAATATTTCATTTTAATAATTATCAATTTCAAATTCTTTATTTAATTATATATATAAATAATTCAAACAAAACGAAATTATTAAAATTAAATATAGAATATGAATATTATTTAATTAAATTTGAAAAAATTAGCCATTTGTTTACAATGAATATTTAATTAAAGAATTTTAAATTAAAAATTAAAAGGAAAAAAAAAAGAATTTGCTAATTCGTTAAAAAAATAATATTTCATTTTAGTAATTATCAATTTCAAATTCTTTATTTAATTATTTATATAAATAATTTAAAGAAAACGAAATTATTAAAATTAAATAAAAAATATAAATATTATTTAATTAAATTTGAAAAAAATAGCGATTTGTTTACAATGAATATTTAATTAAAGAATTTTAAATTAAAAAATTAAAAGGAAAAAAATTTTGCTAATTCGTTAAAAAATAATATTTCATTTTAGTCATTATCAATCTCAAATTCTTTATTTAATTATATATAAAAATAATTTTAAAAAATGAAATTATTAAAATTAAATAAAGAATAAAATTATTATTTAATTAAATTAGAAAAATTAGCTGTTTGTTTACCATGAATATTTAATTAAATAATTTTATATTAGAAATTAAAAGGAAAAAAAAAAAGAATTTGCTAATTCGTATAAAAATAATATTTCATTTTAGTAATTATCAATTTCAAATTCGTTATTTAATTATATATAAAAAAATTCAAACAAAAAGAAATTATTAAAATTAAATGAAGAAAAAAATTAAAGATTTGTTTACAATGAATATTTAAAAAGAATTTGAAATTCAAAAATTAAACGCAGAAAAAAAAAAGAATTTGCCAAAAAAATAAATATTATTTAATTTAATTTACCAAAAAAATTAACTATAAAACAAAGTTAAATATAGAAAAAAAATATTATTTATTATTGAAAAATTAAATTATTAAAAAGGGCTGGGCTGACTTTTAACAATCGTCAAGAGTATTTTTGGCCTTTTGTTGATAAATATTATGTTTAAATTTTTATTTTATTTTATTTTATTTTATTAATGGGTCAAAGACCATTGTTGAAATATGCTCCAATCAACAAGCAATTTCCCACTATTTTCTCTATAACTTAACTCCTTCAAAGTGACATAAACTTTGAACTTCATAAAATTATTGTTTAATTTAGTTTATATGTAAATATAAGGGTGCACCAGTTATTTTATTGATGAAATCGCATATTAATAACAATAATAACAACTTAGTCCCTTTTTAACAAGATTAAAAATTAGATTAATAAAAAAAATGACATGATATGTTACTTTTTTGTTAAAAAAGTGATAAGTTTTAACAAAGATTGTTGTAGGTAAATTTTATTATGACAATATTTTTGGTTATTTTGTCAGTTTTATATACCCATTTACCTCCATAACTGATGAAAACATTAATTTTATTTATATCTACAAAAAGAATATAAATGAAATAGCGGGAGACTTTTTTTAAAAAAAATGATATAGAATGTCACTTTCAAATTCCACCACATTCGTATACAAAAGACAATAAAGTGTTACATTATCTCACTTTTTAGTTTTAAAAAAGGTTTGAATTCATATACATATTTTTCACAAACGTACGTACAACCATATCTTTAATTGATTAAATTTTTTTTGAATGAAATAGATTGCAACCTTCTTGAAAAAAAGTTACTGAGCATGTCATTTTTCTCATTCTCATTCTCATTTTCATTCTCATATTTGTATTTATATTTTTACAAACACCTTACATGTGTCACTTGAATTGATACAAAGTTGATTTTTCACTTTAATTTGATTCAAAGTTGATTATTCATATATGATAACTCAATTTAATCCATACAAATTTGAATTTTAATATATACTAACTCAAATTCGTTAATTTAAAAATGGAAATTTCATATGTACTAGAACCAAAAAAACCTAAACAAGATCAAAATCAAGGTGAAAATCTTGTTCATGAACTAATCGAATAAAAAATTAGAAATACACTAACCTATAAATTTAGGTTGATTATTTTCAGATTTGGGAAAGCAAATTTTGAAGAAAGGGTAGTTGAAGTAGCCCTTAATCTTGTTTGGACTTGATTTGTACAAGATTTCATCATATGATTTGAATTTTGCTTGATATGGAGCATGTAGGTTTCGAATTTTTCGATGAGATGCTAAATCGCCTCTTTCCTTCTGTTTTTTAGAACGTAAATAATACAGGGACAATAATTGAAATTACAGCACTTGTATTTATCCAATGTTTATAATGACTTTTCAAAAAGGAAAAAATCATAGATCAGGTATTAACTATAACTAAATCAATTTTCAGGCATTAAGTTTAAAAATTACAAAAATCAGTTATTTGTTAATTAATTAAATATATTAAAATCACAATTATACAACTCATGGTCACGTATGCATATTTATAGGTCACAACTTATTTATTGGTCACATTTTATCAAATTAATTGGTCACAAATTATTTTTCGATCACAAATCAGAAAATTTATAAGACGCATATTTTTTTACAGTCACAAATTAAAATTTTCATAGGTTACAAATCAAAAAATTAATAGGTCACAAATCACGATCACAAATATTATGAGTCACAACTTATTAGTCAGTCACAAATTATCAAATTTTTTAGGCCACACAGTAATTTCATGGTCACAAATTATTTTTTT